TATGGAAATCTTTTTTTTTTTTTTTGACAATAATAATTGCGGCTTGTAAAAGATGAAACCATGATTTTAATTTGAATTTTGGATTTGTTTACATCAGTGCTTTATTTTTAAGTAAGATGATTAAAATCACTGCTGTTTGTACGTCCACTTTTTAATCTTTCTCCAAATAATTTAGATGGCTTTGTGATAGGTAAATATTGGATTGCTTTGTTTAAAACCTTAATTATGGGTAACTCGAACATATTTGTTTAGAGTTAATTAAATCACTGCCTACTAAACTTTACCCATGATTACTACTTGCTCACTGAAATATAAACAGTTACTCAATACTCACTGAACTATTCATTAGTTTACCCATCAATCACTAAATCACTAAAGCTAATTCCGTCTCTACAGCTGGACAAAAATCTCTACGTGGCGGACGGAAAAATTACGGCAATACACGACGTTAGTTAACCACACGTTGGATAAAAGCGTATTATTCTTCCCCTTCAAAACGTACGTGCCTCCATTTCAATTAGAGAAGTTAAATCCCCAATTCTAACCCTAGGAAGAACACTATCTTCAATTCGCCATGGAATCCTCTTCATCCACATCTCAGATGGAATTCGCCATGGAATTCTCTTCTTCCACATCTCAGAAATGTGCGTGCACTATGCTTAGGTCGAGAGAAGGCTACGATTTCTCTCCAAAGGTTGTCTATGTCAGCAGAAACGTTCCGCTCAATTGTTTGCCGTTGTAGAGTGAGTTAGGCCTCTGATTGAGCTCCGTCAGACTGATGCGTCTGTTTTGCAAGCTGCTACGGCTTACAATCTTCGAAGATGTGTTATTTCAGAAGGCGGAATAAAAAGTCCTCTGGCTTATTTAGACGGTCCAGTGCCTCAAGAATCTGCTGTTGGGGCATTGAGAAACTTGGTTGGAGTGATTTCAGTTGATGTTTCGGTTTCATTAGGCCTTCTTCCAAGGCTAGTCCATGTGCTTAAATTAGGTTCTCTTGGTGCACAAAAAGCAATGGCCTCAACAATCTATCTAATCTGCAACTCAACTGAAATAAAACGACTAGTTGGTGAATCTAGATGCATTCCTGTTCTCATAAAGATACTGGAGGCTAAATCTATCAATGCGAAGGAGATTGCATCACAAGCAATTCAAGTTTGATGTCCATTTCCCATAATTGTAGAGAAGTTAAAAGAGATGACAAAAGCCTACCAAATTTGGTTGTCTTGCTCGATCCAAGTCCTCAGAACAATTATTTGCAGTTTTTTTTGGAGGCCTTAGCATGGACAGTTATGTTGGTCTTGGTCTCTAAACTCATCATTCGGTCTAAACCTCAAATTACATCTAGTAGCAATCACATGATTCCTCACAGCCTGCCTAAACTCCTCAATGTTTTTAAATTCCTTTCCAACCTCAAGTTGTGGGTTGAGCTTCTCCTTTTAGGGATCATACACAGGGAAGTGATAAATATTTTTTTCACTAGAAGAATAATCAGTATGCAGTTCCTCCTCACTTGGGCAATCTAACTCATCAAAACCTTTCTCTTCTTCCCCTCCAACATCAAGTTGAAGTGCATGCTTGGATGCATTCTTATCATAGTGGAAATCATCATCGTTAATCTCATTATCTGAATCAATCGACTCACGTTTAATCGGTATCTCTTCCTTTTCTTGAACTGAATAAAAAAAAAACTTCATGAAAAATAGCTCAGTGCCGATATTATATTACAACAGTGACGGATTCCATGTGAATCAATTAACTCAGCTCAACAAACTCAAGACATGTCTCAGACATATATAATATAAAATTGAAGAATTTATCAAAATTATTATAAATAATTTACCTTGTGATCCCTCCTCCATGGCCTGCAAAAGCGACTCTTCTACTATATTTTTTTCGATTGGATCCCCCATGTTCCTTACAATCAAGACAAGAATATTTCTATGTTTTGTTTCTAAATCTTTTGATATCTGTTTGGATATGTTTAAAGTGAAAGAAAATTCTAGGTTTGGCGATTTGGGGCTTAACAATGAAGATAGAACTTACCAAAGAGTGGAATTAGGGAGGAGTGCAATTTGGGGAGGATCGATTTCGGTGGACTGTGATTTTCAATTTTGACATTGGACGGTGATTTCAATTTGGGTGGAATTGGAAAAGGGAGAAGAAATGTGGGTTCCATTCAAATCTTCACGTGAATCATGTTTGGCTATGTACAAATCATGTTTGGCTATTCTTCACTGATGTGTATTTTTTGTTTGCCACATCATCCGCCACGTAGAGATTTTTGTCCAGCTGTAGAGACGGAATTGGCTATAGTAATTGATGAGTAAACTAATGAATAGTTCAGCGAACATTGAGTAACCGTTTATATTTCAGTGAGCAAGTAATAACCATAGGTAAAGTTTAGTAGGCAATGATTTAATTAAGTCTATTTTTTTATTTAAGCCCTATTTTGAATCCCATTTTTTTAAAAAAAATTGTGTTTTTGAATGGTGATTTTTCGGAGAAGGTGTAGTTAAAAAGTAAGAAATTTTTTTCAATTTACATAAAAAATTATTGTTGAAAATGTGTGGTTAAAAATAAGTTTTAAAAAATTGGACTCAAACAATGGTTAAACTTAATGGTCGGAAAGATTAGATTAAATTTTATTTTTCCCAACAGAAATCTATAATTGTGCACAAGCTTATTTATTTAGCCTTGTTTGATGCACATTTTGAAGGTAAAAATGTATTTTTACTGTTGATGTGATGGAAAATATGTAGTTGAAAAAAAAGGAAAAGTTATTGATGTGATGGAAAATATTATTTTATTGAAGAATGTGAGGATGAAAATGAGTAGAAGAATGAGAATAAAAAAAAATAATGTGGACCAATCATGGCTTTAGATTTAAAGCATGTTGACTAAGCTTCAACTTTTCAATCAACTATTTTTTTAAAACTATGTTGGAGCTTTTTTAGAAGTATTTTCAACTTTTCAATCAACTATTTTTTTAAAA